AGAGGGGCAGCTGCCTATATGAGGTGTCTGTCAGCCCCTACTGGGAGGTGTCTCCCAGTTAGGCTACACGGGGGTCAGGGACCCACTTGAGGAGGCAGTCTGTCCTTTCTCAGAGCTTAGACGCTGCGCTGGGAGAACCACTGCTCTCTTCAGAGCTGTCAGACAGGGATGTTTAAGTCTGCAGAAGTTGCCTGCTACCTTTTGTTCAGCTATGTCCTGCCCTGCCCACAGAGGTGGAGTCTAGAGGTAGTAGGCCTTGTTGAGCTGCGGTTGGCTCCACCCAGTTCAAGCTTCCTGGCTGCTTTGTTTACCTACTCAAGCCTCAGCATTTGCGAATGCCCCTCCCTCAGCCAGGCTGCTGCCTCACAGATGGATCTCAGACTGCTGCACTAGCAGTGAGCAAGACTCCATGGACGTAGGACGTGCCATGCCAGGCATGGGAGAGAATCACCTTGCCTGCTGGTTGCTAAGACCTTGGAAAAACGCAGTATTTGGGCGGGGAGTGTCCCGTTTCTTCAGGTAGTCTGTCATGGCTTCCCTTGGTTAGAAAAGGGAAATACTCCGACCCCTTGTGCTTCCCAGGTGAGGCGACTCCCTGCCCTGCTTCAGCTCGCCCTCTGTGGGCTGTACCCACTGTCCAACCAGTCCCAGTGAGATGAACCAGGTACCTCCATTGGAAATGCAGAAATCACCCGTCTTCTGCATCGATCACGCTGGGAGCTACAGACCGGAACTGTTCCTATTCAGCTGTCTTGACATGTATTTATTTATTTATTTATTGAGACAGAGTCTTGCTCTGTCACCCAGACTGGAGTGCAGTGGTGCTATCTCATCTCACTGCAACCTCCACCTCCTGGGTTCAAGTGATTCTCCTACCTCAGCCTCCCAAGTAGCTGGGATTACAGGCACAGAACACCACTCCCAGCTAATTTTTTATTTTTAGTAGAGAAGGGGTTTCACCATGTTGGCCAGGCTGGTCTTGAACTCCTGACCTCAGGTGATCTGTCCACCTCAGCCTCCCATAGTGCTGGGATTACAGGTGTGAGCCACTGCACACAGCCGCACACATCATTTTATATATTATTCATTTAATATCAGTCACAGTAGCTTTTGTTAGTAGCAGACCAGCAAGAAAGTTCCAGTTTGCATTAAATATTCCCATTGGAATCCTAATGTATATTTTAGAGATTATTGCTACTTACTCTTACTTTTTTAGGCACCTTGTTTTACTTATTTTTTGGTAGATGTAGAAAATTGTATGGGGTACTATATGGAATTAGAGAAGTTGGAAATGCCTGCTATTTTAAAGAGCTTTCCAACTTTGCTGGTAAGCGAGAGCAGGATAGGAGGTTGGGACATAGATATTTTTACAGATACAAATAATTACTAAAATTGGCATGGTTTTTGAAATAAAATCTGTAATATTTTGAAATCATCTTCATATTCTTTACATTGCAGAGACTGAATGCCCGATGAATGCTATTTAAATTGTAAAACAATGGGAAATATTTTATTTATAATTTATTTATTTACTGTAAATTTTAAATGTATTTAGTATCTATATATGTTTTCCCAAAACTAAAAAAGTTATTAAGTCTCATTTTTAGAAACCAGAGATATGTAAACATACATACACATATGCACACACGTACATTATTTTGTAGTTACCTGACTAAAGGTAAATTTACACTTAAATTTATTTTTGAGGAGCTTATTTTTATTTATGGATTTGATTTAAACTCTTACGGACTTAATGAATATACATTTACTTTTATTTTCTTTTTTATTTTAACAGTGAAAGAAAGTATGTGTTAATACTGTGTCAACAAGGATAAATGTATATATGTCCTTGACCTTACTCTTAGAAATACTGAAGACACTAGGACAGTTTAAGACCACTTAGCAGCCATTACCCATACAATGCTTTTACAAAATTCCTTAAGACTTGATCCTACAAAAAAAAAAAAAAAAAATCATAATATTGATTCAATTCTTGTAATATCAAGTCTACCACTTCAAGCATGGGGATTCCTGACCCACTTATAAGTATTAATAATTGCAAAGTAACCCTGATAAGTCCACCTCAATGGAAAACACTGATGTGTGTGGTCTTACCATCAGTTCCCAGCTGCCTGTAAATCATGTTTTCAAGATCCATTAATAGAAGGCTCATAGGGAAGTTCCTATATCCTATTTATGGAAGTACAGAATGTTTTGAGATTGGAAGGTCTAGCTGTAAAATAATGCAGTAAAAATTGGGCTTGTGGAGGGGGATTCTTGCAGTGAGTCAGAAGGCAGAACTTCTTTCATGGCAGAAATTGTTCCCTGCTAAGCAATTGTGTTAATACTATAATAAACCACCACATTTGACTGATAGCTCAGACTTCATAGAGTTTGGGGAGAACACATGCTTAATGCAGAGCATTCTTCGTAATTATCTTTCCATTCTTGATGCCTTGAGGCTTAGGAAATGTTTGATTCCAGAAGTAAATATAGAACTGTTTTCAGAGACCATTCTGTCTGACATGAGTTGCGTGGCCTCTGATCATGTTTGATAACCAAATTATTATCTGTCGCATACCTTCAGTGGATCATACAAACGTGCCTAATAAAAGATGATGTCATTATCAGCAAATTTCTGTCACCCGTGATACAAAATAATCTTATAATACGAACATACTATAACCTATATAGTATGTCTAATAAAATATACATATAAATGTATATGTCTTTTGGCTAATGAACGTAATTTAGTGAAAATTGGGTATTAGAATTTTGAAACATATTGCTTAAGAAAACTAATACTACAAATGTTCGTCATTAGATCCTTCTGTGTTTTTGGGAATCATACTTCAAATTGATTATAATCATTCCCAGTCACCCTGCCTAAGAACATCTAGTGGTTCTGTAGTACCTGCCTAGTTTTGACTTTTACCAACCTATTTGTCAAGATTTGACTCCCACTGTCACCATTTTTCCACCTCCTTTTCCTTAAATGATTTTTTGTTTGGTTTGGTTTTCTGGGGTTTTTTGTTTGTTTGATTGGTTGGTTGGTTTGTTGGTCTTTTTGTTTGTTTGTTTGTTGTGTTTGAGACAGGGTCTCACTCTGTTATCCAGGTAGGTGTGCAGTGGTGTGAGCATAGCATACTGCAGCCTCAACCTCCTAGGCTCAAGAAATCCTCCTGCCTCAGCCACCTGTGTAGCTGGGACCACAGGTGCATACCACCACACCTAGCTAATATTTTTATTTTTTGTAGAGATGAGGTCTCACTGTGTTGTCAAGGCCTGGTCTTGAACTCCTGGCCTCAAGCGATCATCCTCCCACTTCAGCCTCCCAAAGTGCTGAGATTACAGGCATGAATCCTACCTGCTTTTCAAATAAACAGTTCCCCTGTCATTAATGCATTTCACCACCTCCCCATCTCCAGATCTCCACATTTTAAAATATTTCTGTCCTTCAAGGATGGCTTAGAGCAAATATCACCTCCTTCAGGAAGCATTTCCAACTGAAATTATTCTTTATTTTTTATGATACTCTTTTAAAAAGGTAGAGTTCTATGATTCTACCTTGTATTATAGGGGAATAATATATACCTCTCTATATACAATATATAGAAAGGTAATAATATATACCTCTATATATAATAATATATACCTCCATAATACAAGGTATATAGAGAATATATACCTTATTTTCTCTTCTTAATCAGATTGTAAGCGCCTTAAGGACAGAGTCCAATTAGTATTCATTTTTGTATTTGCCTAGCAACCAGCACATTTTCTTGCACATAGGAGGTACTCAATAAACTGTTGAATCAAAATGAATTAAATGGAATTGTATATTACTCATTGTGTGTTGATTATTTTGTTTTGAATTCATGTTTTCTCTCTCTTCAAACCATTTTAATATACATTAGAATAATTTTACAATACTGAAATATCAGTTCACTTCTACTTTGAAGGTTTTTTCCCCACCTATATTCCTATTAGCATGGTCATACTTCACATCACCTTTATACTTGAAAAAAAAATCTCATTTTTGTCTCCATTTGTAAATGCCTAACATCCAAACTGTTTTTATATTTAACTGAATTCACAGAATTGAATGTTCTGATGTACATTAAAATGACCATCCTTTTATTCATCAGATGTAATTATATGTAAAAAATAGTTCTTAATTGATTGCTATCAGATTCTATTTCTGTATTTTATGTAATAAAGAACTATCATAGAATTGTTTATAATCTATTTCTGTCATACTTTTGGCCTTTAAACTGTTGGGTTCCTCCTGTTTAGTCCTTGTCTCCAAAGAGCTCTGTGTGATGGTTAAAAATTATGGCTGCATACAAAATCAAGTTACAGGCATAGAATACTTCACCTGACTGAATTAGTGACAGGTTTAAGATTGAATTTCATTTTTCCCTCTTTTCTATTGCTGATCACATTTCTTTTTAAGGCTCAAAAATTTTCCTTTCTCTTTCTATATGAATAGATAAATATAGGTATTGCTAAATACCTCATCGATAAGTTCTTAGTGAATTGGCCTCACTAAAGAAACATGCCTTGAACACATTTGTTGTAATTCCTAGAATAGAGTTTTGCTTTTTTAACTTGAGACAATTATCTTAAAATAGTAATTCATGTGTGTCAAAGCTTTTATTTCAACACTATAGTAAACCATTTGACCAAAACTATAAATTGTACACATTCAGTCACATAAACAGAGAACTATAAATGATCCATATGACATCTTCACAGCCTCTGACAGAGAAATATTTTATTGTATTTTAGTAAGAGAATATTATTTTTCCAAATTTTCTGCACTTAACAGCGAAAATTTCATCGCTTTAATGTGTATAGTTTTCTGAACTAAAGACATAGCATATTTATTAAATACTACCTTGAAATCCAAGTTAGTAATAATTTATCTAAATTGGAGATGATTATTGGGGAAATTTTTTTTTAATAGTTTGACTCTTTTATCCAAATATTTATTCCAGATTGTATCTGCTGTACAGTATTGTCATCAAAAGTGCATTGTTCACCGTGATCTTAAGGTAAGCTTCTGATTGTAATTTTAAAAAAATCTTTATTATTAACGTATGTTTAATAATAATATTAGAGCTGTCTTATTGCCTAACTGTGCTACTAGACACTATACAAGTAGTTAGTTTTTGATTCTCACAGCAGCTTTATGAAAGGTAATATTTTCACTGAGCAAATGAAGAAAATATGAGTGAGAAGTTATCTAGCTTTAGAGGTTAGAGGATTTGATTCACTATTAATTAGTTTGCTTTAAATGCATAGATATGGAACTTTATTCCCAGCCAAAAGTGTGGGACCTCAGACAGAAGCAAAGTCAGAGCACAGACCCATGTTTCCCTTACATAAGAGACAGTATTCACACTCTACCTTAAAGCTCAAAGAACTAAGGAAAGTTTTAAAACATTTTTATGAACACTAAATGCGTATAATAGTATAAACGAGCATACTTTGGAATAAGAAATGTGTAGTTAGTCAATAAATGGTTGTGCCACATAGATTGTTTAAAAAATGAAAGTGGAAGGACCCTGGGCTAAAATGTTTACGTGTTTTTTTCCTTTTTTCTCTAATCTTCCAAATTTAATTTTCATTGTCCTGTACGTAAGAGTCTTATTTTTCTTTTTCACTTTTTTCCTCATCACCTTTATCAACTACTTGCACCAGTTTGGGTTATGTTTGAATATATTATCCTAAACAGTTGTCAAAAGTCAAGTCTAATTCTGTATTTTAGCTTCATTTTTCAGAGCTTATGAATTTTCTGTTGCTCCCAATTTTTCTATTTCTTGATTTCCTTCCTTGGCTATTTTAAGGGGAATCACTTCCATGACGAATGAGAAAGAAAAGAACTGTTCCCCTGCTTCTGTGTTTAACTCCCAGTTTATCATCTCATTTCTTATATGAAAAAAATCTGCAAAAAATAATAATGTTCAAAACCTTGTGTTTTCCCTCCAGTCCAGTAGAGAGAGTTTTCCTATACACTCCTGGAAGGAGACCTCAGAACCCCTTGCAGCTCTTCTCTTCTGAGGCAGCTTGGATACTTTGATATCCATCCAGACATTTTTAGAGAAAGTCCAGCTTGCTCAAAAACAGCTTCAGAAATTTACAGTGACCAGGCCCTTACATCAGAACATCAAAATAACCTGGTTTTGTCACAGTTCAAAAATGTTACAATCTATTATAAATTTTTCCAAATGTATGTGCTTTTATAGTATTTATGTAATAAATGATACCCCATTTTTATTGTATATTTTGGGTTCTAGGTGTATCTGCATTTTCCAAAATAAAATGAAAACAAATATCCCAAGCTAGTATACCACAAAAAAGAAGAAAAGAAAGGTTGTGGCAGGTAGGGAGGGAGGAGATATATGATGGGCAGAGTGCTTGACTCTTATGATTGTTGGACCTTCTAGTAATATAGAGAAATCTGATTTTTGTTTTAGTCAAATTTTATTTCTTTTCGAAACCTGATAAAACACATCTACAAAGTAACCTATACCTTTGTTAGTCTATCCATCCATTGTAATAGAGTTTGAAATAAAACGTGTACAAGAACAAGTCCTTTATTGAATTGCTTCTGTTTACAAAAGGGACATGTAAAATACTGTCTTTGAGTGATTCTACTTTAGGATTTTGGAAAACCATCTCAAAACATGGAAAATTCACTGCCTTCTATGTAAAATATACGTCAAGAAGAGAATCTAGTTTTAAAACAGCAAAAAGAAGCTTAAAACAGACAAGATATAATAGAGGCTGTAGTTTTTGGTCATGTTTTACTGAAACAGTAGTTTGTTGAGGAAGCATTCTACAAGAGAGGACAAAGGAATGAATTAGTAGTCACAGAACCCCTGACAGGCAGTTACTGTAGATATACCTTTGAGCCTAGCATTAACCGACAATACCCTATTAAAATAGAGCTCCTTTGGGTAATCATGTTGGTTTAAGGCCAAGATGGATTAGTATTGTGCTCTTTAGAGTAGGTCATACTAAGGTACACTTCTAGGATGTTTCTGACTATGAGGGAAAAAATGAGTTTAAAATAACCTATGAAAGAAAATGGGTTTTAAATAACCTTTCTTAAGTAGTTGCATATATGCATATAAAGAGAGCTTTCCTTTTATAGCGTTAAAATTTAGTCTTATATAGATGTAATTCAGAATGCATTGAAGTACCATACTGGGCTTCTAAATTTGATACTACATTTATAAATGAGAGACGAGATGTAAGTTTGGAAGCTAAAACACTTTTAACAAATATTTTTATTTTATGTAGGCTTTTTACATTGTTCTTTTTATTATTTTCCTCTTAGGCTGAAAACCTTCTCCTTGATGGTGATATGAATATTAAAATTGCTGACTTTGGTTTTAGTAACGAATTTACAGTTGGGAACAAATTGGACACATTTTGTGGAAGCCCACCCTATGCTGCTCCCGAGCTTTTCCAAGGAAAGAAGTATGATGGGCCTGAAGTGGATGTGTGGAGTCTGGGCGTCATTCTCTATACATTAGTCAGTGGCTCCTTGCCTTTCGATGGCCAGAATTTAAAGGTATTAGCTAAATTTTATATTAATGTTTTATCCCCAAGTATGATTATTTCAAAAACCAGTTACAAGTGCTTTCTTTCACTTTCATTAAGGAACTGCGAGAGCGAGTTTTACGAGGGAAGTACCGTATTCCCTTTTACATGTCCACAGACTGTGAAAATCTTCTGAAGAAATTATTAGTCCTGAATCCAATAAAGAGAGGTAGCTTGGAAGTAAGTAAATTTTTATACTCCAAATTTAAATTTTAACAATTAAAATATTCCAGAAACTGAAGAGCATTTTTCTCCAATGTTTTCTTAGGAAAATTGCCAAATTATCTAATCTGCCTGTTGTTTAGAGGTAGGGAAAATGACATGACTTTTTTTCACTATTTTTTTCACTTTCAAAAGTTGCCACAGTAGCTGTCTCTAAAAACTATTATTTCCTCTTTGTTCTGTAGTGCCATGTTAAATTAAAACAACACAAAAATAGAGGTTAAATCCACTTTTAGTTAGAGAAGGAGGAAAACGTAGCCTCTGTCAGAAATTGCGTTGTCGAAAACAGAAACCTTGTTTTTAGTAAGTTCTCAATAAATATTTCAAGGATAAAAGAAAATCGTGAAAATTCTAATCTAGTGAATATTTCACAGCTATATCTGACATTGGTATCTAGCATTTAAAAATGCAATAGAAACCTCTCAACTTTAGTAAAGAAAATTTACAAATATTTAAGTAGAACATATTGGAAACAGGCATTTCATTTCTTAACACATTGTTGTGTTGCCTACATACATTCCATATATGAGGTTATTTATAATAATAGACACCATTATAAATGGACTAAGTATGTTACAGGCAAGCAAGTTCACATAACCAAAATGTCTAGTATTTTTTTTCTTCTGGCGCTGCAGTTAGAATAATTTATTTCTTAAGTATTTTGCCCATTTGTTTTTAAGAATGATATTTTAGCCTTTACTAAGATAATTTCAGAGATTCAGCATGCATTATTCACTAGTACTTTCTGTCTTCTTTTATTCGCCTTAATAGAAAGGTAGAGAATTCAGAGAATTAACCTCATATAAACTGTACTTTTTTAGTGTAGCAATGGGGCTTTCTGGCACGGACTTCATGCTGCTTAGGAGGCAGCCTTATAGTGAGCCATCCCTGTGTACAGAGCTCTCAGGTTAGTGTGGGCTTTGTAATTTTATTTCCACAAATATTTTTCAGTAGAAGATACAGCATGTTTTGATGGCAGTTAAGGGATGGTGACTTCCACTGGGAAATTATTTTAAATGCTTTGTGTCAGTTCATCAATGATAAGGATTTTTTTACTGAATTATTTGTTTAAATGGTATTAGTTATATCTTACAAATTTTGTGGGCTTTTCCCCCCTTTTGGGGGTAAAAAAATTATGATAGTAATGCTTTAGTAGAGAACATGTACTATATAATGCCCACTTTTATGTCACTTATTTTGAAAGCTTTCCATCATTATTCATAGAAGAATTAGGTGAAATATTTAAAAAGCTAAAATTCTTGACTCTCATATCAGTTCTAAAATAATGAACTTTAGAGAACATGTCTTGTAATCCTGCTTTGTGACTTTTATCGTAAGAACCCCACTTTACCTGAGTGTCACTTAATAAAATGCCCAGAGTTGAAGCAACAGCTTAGCTAATGAGCAGAGCAAAAAGAATATACAAAAATTATTTTGGGGGAATAGATATTAGAGATCTCTGTGGACAGTAGATAAGATGTGCTGATGCCTTAAAGATGATTAATTTATAGTAGCCAAACACATTAGTCTTTTATCATTAGTATTAAAGTGTTGAGGATTAAAATAGTAGAGTGCTTTGAGTTGAATTTAAAAGCCAAATTTTTATTACTGAAATATTTGGTCATCAGAAGCTCATTCCAACATATTTCAGTATAGTCTGCAGCTTTCTGTTCCAGCTTACCAAAACAAAGTTTTTCAGCTATGAAAACACGAGTTCCCACTGGAAATATTATCATAATATTATAGATATTACTATGCAAAGGCTGATTTGCTTCACAGTTCCCAAAAATGACTTTCCAGGGAAACTTGACACCATTTTTTTAAATAGAAATATTTCTTATACCAAACCTTAAGAAACTCTCCTAGAAATATTGGTGACTTCAAAAATTGTTAGTCTTCACTTTTATTTTTCCAACCAATTTTATTAGCATTACAGTAAAAAATCTGTAAAGTTTTTAAAAGCCATTTTCAAAATACTCAATCTGTATTATGTAAACATAACATTTTATGTGTTAGTAATGTTTTATATCATGTTCCATTTTTTTTTTAACCTTAGAAGATTCTGATATGCATTCTTGCTTTGTCATAAGAATGCACTCCTTTGTTTTTAATAGCTATGTTATTCTCCTTGGGTAACATATCATAATATATTTAACTATTCTATGTTTATTGCACATTTGAGTTGTTTCCATTGTTTTTGATAAAAGCAATGTGGTATACTTTTTTCCCCTTTGGGATATATGCTTAGATAAATTCTTCAGAGTGGAATCACTGGGCCAAAGGGTGCAAGTGATCAGATAGCTCTTTTATCATTGCCAAAAGATGTGCGTGACCCAAGGCTTTTGAATGTACCTGTTCTCCATAGCTTGATTCAATATTGGATATAAATTCTAGTATTTGATGCCTTGCTTTAATTTGTATGTCTTTTATTAGCAATAAAATGGAACATTTTTAATGAATAGTTTGTGCTTCTTCATGTATAAGCTCTCAGTGTCTTTTAACTACTTGTCTTAAGGAGTCTGGTTAAGAAGCCTCATAGATTGGTACCAACTTTGTATATTTTAATATGAAATATTTTTCTGGTAATTTCCACATTTTGAAAAAGTGGAACATCATGAATGTTTTTTCAGTGTACTTTAGTGTCATGAATTATTGATTAGCATATCCTCTATATTTTCTTCACTATATATTTTTCTAATATTGAAATTTGATTTAGAGAATCTTACATGGTTGCTTATCATTTCAAACTTATTTAACTTACCTTTCTGTTGCTACCAGACATAACTGTATATTTTATTAAAATGTTTCTTAAAGACTCCTAAGTTAAATGCCTTATTTATCATCTGTGAAAATAAAAATTAATGAAATTAGTTTCACGTTCTACTAGCCTATGGTTTGTTTCTAGGCATAAGCAAACAGTTATATAATTTTTTCAGGTTATATATGTGAATGTTGCCAGCTCTTTCTAATTGTACTAGTCTGGAACTTCCATGTGTGATACTGTCCTCATTATGATTTTAAAAGGATTTGTGCTTTATGTTGTACACTATTGTTTTTTAAACCCGTTTATTGGAATATTGGTATGTCTAGATTTTTTTATTAGAAAGAAACTGAAAAACTTTTCTGCTTTCCCTGTTCTGTACATGTTCATTCATTTTTCCAGTCTTTAACCAAGATGGACTGTATTACCTTTCAAAATAATGCAAAATTTGAGCCTGAAGCAAAGCTCCTCTTATTGCCCTCTCTTTGTCATCATTGGTCCTCCAAAAAAGTGTTTATTTTGACTTTTAATACTTAATTTTTCAGCTGTTACTAAAATAATCTTTACAGTCTTGTTTATGTCTGCCAAGTGACAGTAAAGCAAAAAAATCAATTAATTCATAATTTTTAATGAAAGATTTCTGTTACAAATTCAGAAGCATATAGTATGTTTTACAAAGGTTGAAATAATTTAAGTAAAATTATTTCTGTCTGGCCATTCTAAATTCCATTATTTTTAAAATGTGCACCTAAGGCCACGCTTGATGGCTCATGACTGTAATCCAGATACTTTGGGAGGCCAAGGCGGGCAGATCACCTAAGTCCAGGAGATCGAGACCAGCCTGGGCAACTTGGAAAAACCCTTTCTCTACATTAGCTGGGCGTGGTATCACACATCTGTAGTCCTAGCTACTCAGGAGGCTGAAGCAGGGGGATTGCTTGAGCCCAGGAGGTTGAGGATGCAATAAGCCATGATTGCGCCACTGGACTTGCAGCCGGGATGACAGAACAAGACCCTGTCTCCAAATAAAATAAGATAAAATAAAATAAATGTGCACCTAAGTATAGAGTGTATATTTCCCATAGCTAGTTTAATTCATCTGATCAATTGTTTTGTTAATGTAACTCTCAGGCAGTCATTTATGTTCTTTGGCCCTGATGGCTAGGGTAAACTTTGTTTTGTTAATTTTGGAAGTTTTTTTGTCCTCTAGTTTCTCATGAGATATATGAAATGAAATCGGAGTGGATGAGTTTATTCAACTAATTTCTGTGTCTAGTGCAGTTTGTTGGCCTAGTTATTTATACCATGCCTGAAACCACCCAGACTAGGGTTACGTGAGCTCTCTCCTGCCATGCAGTACCTCAGTTCTCTGGTAACGTTTCTCCCTAGACTTTTAATGTCAATTCTTTTGGTTACCATGAAAGAATTTTACATAGGCATGAGGTTCACACAACTAAGGGCAGGTAGTCCATATCTCTCTTCCCTTTCATGTATCCATTCTTTGTTGCTTTCTATGCTTTATTTTTGGAAAAAGACCCTCAGATTTTGAATTAACAGAGTTAAACCCCACATCTTCCCTTTCTTAAGGAGATCTTCTTTCCAACCTTTATTTTCCATTCTGAGATTACTTTTATTCTGCTTTGAAATACAACTGTTGTTGTGAGACAAACTGCTAAGCAGACTCTTGGTGATTCCCAGTGACTAGAATAATAATAATAAAGGGAAACAAAACTGTTGATTCTCTCATTGCTGCCCAATTCTCTTTCCTTATCACTGCATTTTCTACTTTTCCTGACTCAACCTAGCCTCAAATCTAGTTTTATGTGAGAATTAGCAGTCAGTCCTTCTGTGTCCACCCATTGTTTTTTTTTCCTGTGCTAATTATAAAACGTAGTATAAAATGTATTCTTTCATTGTATATGATTCATGTGCTTAGTAAAAGAAGGGTGCCTCCTCACTGTTCCTCACATCCTTCTGCCATGACTTTGCACCATTCCAAATACTGCTTATATTTCAAATCAGTTTACATCCTGTCCCCTTACGGTTCCTTCCCTGAAAATCCCAGCCCACACTTCGAGTTGTTCTTTTGGTCTTTATTAAAACTCACTGCTAATAGCACAACTTTAAATAGTTAATTCTATTGTGTATTCAAATAGTTTTGGCTGATGCCTGTAATCCCAGCACTTTGTGAGGCCCA